TGGTTAGAACCACTTTGCTGGGCACTAGACGTGCCCGGAATCTTGATATAATGAGAGTTCTTGGAAGAATTTTGGTCCTGGACCCTATACTGTCTGGCATTTCCTTGTTGTGTACCCTGAGGTCTGCGCTCATCCAGCCTATGCGATTTCTCTTCCAAAGCCCTGGAATAGTTTGCAGCTAGAACGCAGCGCTCCTCGCTGGATTCTGCTGACTGGGCGAGGGCCAGAGCGGTTGGCAGATCCTTTGGTCTTGCGGAAAAAACCAGCGTTTTAAGAGCCCTTCTCAGGCCTGAAATAAATATCTCTAAGGAATCCGCCCTGGCTCTGTTATTTAAGACGCTCTCCCCAACTGCCGTGTGAACCATCATGTTTTTATTCGTAATAAGAGAGAGCTGTTTCTCAATCTCGTCATAGTACTCTGTTAGGGAAAGGTTTCCCTGCCTCATGGTTGCTAACTTCTGCTGTATTATGCTCACCGGCGTTTTGTCGCAGTATGAGCTATCTAGCCTGTGAATGCGGTCCGACATTCAGGACCGTGTTAAAAGATGATAAAACATTGTCCGCGGCCCCTCTGACGTTATTTCTTATGATAACTGTTGCCATGTAATGTTAGCGCTGCCCTCATAAGGCTCGAAAAATTCGTAGGCCGCCAGCGCAACTTGGCGCCAAGAGACATAGTGCCCTTGTTTCCCGTAGAAGTCCGGGAGGGATTTTACCATGTCAAGTGAATGATCGCACTCGACCCCAGGCCTGATAGATATTTTTTAAAACACCTCTACCTCTGGAGCGGTTACGGGCACGGCCGCTCGTAATTGATCAATAGTGGTTTGCATTTGCTGGAATTTGGCCTCCTGGGTTCAGTGCGGTCTGTATGGCCCCTAGTATTGCGGGTCCATGGTTTTTGGTGTTTTCTGAGTCGGCCGTCTGTCAATGTCGGTAAGTCGGAGGCCCTCCAGAAGGGATTTTAAGCTGTCGTCACTATCGTAATCTCTTTCTTCGTCATTCATATGATGCGAACTGCTACGTTTAGCACCTTCCTATGAAACACCAACACTGCAGTCCCGAACACAAGTATAGTGGGCCAAGAGAGAACTGAGTGGCTCTCATAATAATGTTTAAAAAGAAAAGCAAATGCACTTTTGTCTTTTTTGTTTTTTTAATTGTTTTTTAATTTCTCACTGTTTGGTAATATGTGGGAAAGGAACTATTTGGAGGCTCCGCGATTTGTATCTTATATATTTTTTTACTTTCATTTAATATCAATATATTTATCTGTACACGGGGACTTTTTATGGGCTGACATAAAAAAAATTCAGAACAATTCACTAACATTCTTTATTTTTCTTCTGGCTGCTGCGTTGTTTTAATAAAATTAATTCATATTTTCGACCGGTTGAACGCTGGTCCACGGTAAGCGTCGGTTTGTTGTATTAGAATTGTTTTCTTTTGAGGCGAGGGTGGGCCCTTCAGCCTATTTTTTTTTCCTTGTAGATCTTCTTGGAGGCAGCGAGGGATGCCCTTCAGCTTCTTTTCTTCTTTTTTTTTATTTATTGAGTGTTCAACTTTTTATCTGTTTCGTGTCACGTTCTACGGTACATGTAAAAAAATTCGAATTCGAATTTCCGCAATTTTTTTTTTGAATGGATCGAAACAGCGCGACAGCGACGAATGCACTTCAACGAACTGTTTTAGTTTTGGTTTTTAATGGCTTCGTTGGCTTCGACCAACGGAATTGAGAGACGAATTTAGTGTTCAGATATTTATTGCCGGCACTTCTGGCTCGGTTGAATATGAGTGTAAAACTAAAGTAAAATTCATACTTAATATTTAACCATGCGGCGCCTGCCGAGGTAGCGAAATCGTCGCGACGGGAGGTCGCGAGAGGCTAAGGCGGCGCAGTCGAGGTGCACGTCTGCAAGAACCGCCTACAAATACGTTGCCTGCTTTATACTACGGTCAAGCTGAGCTACGGGCAGGTGAGGACATGACATAGTCGTAAGAATGTTTCATTCAACATTGCCGATANGAATTTAGTGTTCAGATATTTATTGCCGGCACTTCTGGCTCGGTTGAATATGAGTGTAAAACTAAAGTAAAAAAGTATGAATTATAAATTGGTACGCCGCGGACGGCTCCATCGCTTTAGCAGCGCTGCCCTCCAGCGCTCTCCGATTCCGCCGCGTCAGCTCCACGTGCAGACGTTCTTGGCGGATGTTTATGCAACGGACGAAATATGATGCCAGTTCGACTCGATGCCCGTCCACTCCTGTACTGTATCAGCATTCTTACAAAGTAAGAACATTGCCGATACCCTGCCGTTGGTGGAGAGTGTTAACTTATGTATATTCTCGAAAGTGTTTGAAAAAATACTATTGAAGAGAATGCTGCCAATTTTGGACGAACTTTCCATCATTCCTGAATACCAATTCGGATTCAGGAGAGGTCACGGGAGCCCTGAGCAATGTCACAGGGTTATTAATGATATAGTCTCGGCATTTGACTCGAAACAAAAAATACTGCACTGCTGCATTTCTTGATGTTCAGCAAGCGTTCGATCGAGTCTGGCACAAAGGTTTGTTGTACAAGATAAAGAAATTGCTACCTGCTCCGTACTATTTATTAATCAAATCATATCTGGCTAAAATATGCTTTTACCTGCAGCAGAAAAACGATACTTCATCACTACTTATCAACTTATCAACGCAGGCGTCCCACAAGGAAGCGTATTGGGACCAATTCTCTACATCTTTATATGGCATGCCAGTTACAAACAACTGCACTGTTGCAACATATGCTGATGACCCAGCCGTTTTAGCCACAAGCACATCTATAAATGAAGCTTCCGAACTCCTGCAGAGTGAGCTAAGCCTAATTGAAGACTGGTTACTTCGATGGAAAATTAGAATCAACTACCTGAAATCCGTCAAAATAACTTTTTCATTAAGACCAGGGCAGTTAGCCCAAATTTTATACTTAACGGCTCACCAATTCCACTACCTGTGTGAAGTATCTGGGCTTGCTTCTCGACCGCAGATTAACATGGAAAACCCACATTAAAGCAAAATGTCAAAAACTCAGACTTAAAACACTAAAAATGTCCTGGTTAATAAGTCGAAAACAGAAACCACTTTGGAAAACAAAATGCGCCTCTACAAATCCATACTGAAGCCTGTTTGGGCCTACGCTATACAGCTCTGGGGAACTGCTAGCAACTAAAATATTGAGATACTTCAGCGTTACCAATGAAAAACTTTGCAACACATTGTCAATGGTCCTTTTTACGTATCTAATGCAAACATCCACAAAGATCTTAATATTACAACCATTAAAGAATAAATGAAGAAAACTAGTAAGAAATACATCGACAGACTCCACAACCACGAAAATAATTTAGCCTTAAGTCTATTAGCTATTACCACATTCTCGATCTTCCCGATAGATAAATCCAACAAACTGAATAGATGTTATATATAATAGCAGGGCTCATGCTTTAAAATAAACACAGGTTTTTTGTATAGCCGGTACTCGAAGAGCAACAAAAAAAAAACGAGAAGGGACGTGTGAGACGCTTCTTACGCGTAACAACTTTTATACCCAGTACCCAGTACCATGGTGAAATTACTATTGCTATTACTTTTACTATGCTCACACTGTTACAGGTGTATTTAAAAAATGAGCCCCGCACGCTTCCTCCCCCGCAAAAGGGCGAAAACCTCCCAAGGCTCAATTTGAAGATAACAAAAACTAAAAACGCCATTCCGTAGGGAATGACCATATCTATCAGATCCAATTGGATCATTATTATAGCCAGAAAGAAGAAATTAATTTGCAGTGCCTAAACCCACTTCGTCCAGCAGCTTTTGTTGTTTTTTTCACATTCTCTCATTCACACTCTGCTTCTGCAGTGTGCGGCCTCTGCCTCTGCCTCGGCCTCTGCCGCGTCTCTGCCTCTGCCGTGCCTCTGCATATGCAGTGTCTCTAAAGATTCAATTCATACACATTACATTACACATCCAAAATAAAATAGTAGTTGCATGCATATTTCATTGTCTTCCGCTGACGTCTTCATTCGTAAACAATTAAGAAAAAGAAGAAGACAATGAAAAAATCGTGCGCTACACAACCTCTATCGTCAACGTTTGGCAAACGACTGACAAGCTGGTGGGCCTCAAATGAGAAAGCACTGTGGTGAATCCGTCACCTTATTATTTCACAAAAAGCGTCTCACACGTCACTTCTCGTTTTTTTTTATACTGGTAGTTGGAATATTTATGAGAGGCTGAATCCATTGGGCTGGAATGGGTATACGGGAGTAATGCAATAAAAGACAACTTAATTTTAATTTTAACCAATTATATAAATCAACAAGTGTAACAATTAAACAAGAAAAATACAGCGTCAAATACTAATATAACAAATTTTTTTGTACATATATTGTACTCAGTATTATTATAAAATATATAAAATAATGATTCGTATAACAATAACACAAGGACTTTGATTTCTTCTGCAGCTCATCAAAAAGTTATCATTTACAAATTAAAAAGAAAAGTATTTCTTCTGAACATATTAGATACGAAATAATTCTATTAAGTAATCTATTAAAATTACAATTGCTTAAACAATTGGAATGTATCATGGTGAACTAGTGTATATTTCCATACATTTTATAGATCTAAGATCTCAGAAAATATATAAGCAGGATTTTGACATTGTTCTGCAAATTGGAAGAAACTGCAATAATTGTTAAAAACATGCATATGACTTAACATTATTGATTAATCCACAGAAATTAAAATGTATAACATATTTTGACATAATGACATTCGATTTATTTTCGAAACAATTTTTTATGTATAAAGACAAAAATGAAATCAAATTCAAATTGAAATGTACCCATTCATTAAGCACACATTTTTGAAGATTTCCAATACTGTGGATAATCAATATGTCATGAGTATATACAACATACTTATATAGTATGAGTGCGATTTTTCCAGCATCGCCTACTGCGTAATACTTATTTATGTATGTAGTATGGACTGCTGATGTATTGCAAAAGTTGATGATTCATAAGTCAATATCCAAAGTATCCGATGTAAGAAGCATGTGCTCATTTTGGCTATCGTTTACTAAGGAAGTAAGCGAATCGTGTATCATCGCAGTAGACAAGTCAACAGAATTTTGTTGATCGTCGTCCAAAGGGCCATGTGAACGTTGGGATGACGAAAACAGTGGATCATGATCACCATTGCAATGTACAAGCCTACCAAACCCTGTGTTTTGAACCGAATCAGACTCCATGTGGCTTGGCTGACTATTTAACTGACAATGATTTGTGTGGCGTTCAGGTGTTTTCAGCTGGCGATGAATACAGCATGACTTACTGCAAGCGATATTGCAATGTGTAAGATCATCTAAAATGTTGATGCTAGAAGTTTCGTTAAAAAGATCAGAACTAGCTTCCGAGCTTCTCTTTGGCCCATAGCTGACACAATTTAACTCATTAGCAGTAGGCGAATGTGAAGCAGACATCATGTGGCTATGAGAAGACAGCATCGGATCGCCCCCTTGCACAGGGTGTTTGCAATCTTCCATGAGCTCATCAATCTGATTCATCCCCATACTGGCGTCGCTCGTATTTATTTCTGGTACCTTTATTAAACAAAATATAAAACTTATTTTGCTCAAAAAACCTACTTATTTTGAAAAAACTTACTTTTCTCTCAACAACTATTAATTCGTCCAAAAGTGAGCGGCGACTTTGAGAAACAGGGAGCGTTGGGCTTGAACTTTTGAGATATAAGTTTGCTGGGGTGGGCGCCGATACTGATGTTACGTTATAGTCCGATAAACCTTGTGATTTGGCCTGCATTTCCAGCTCCTTAAAAAAAAATGAATTATATATATTGGACACTAATATATTTGTATTTGAAAGGTTTGCTTGTAATACTTTACCCTAACGCGAGAGATAAGCTTTCGGTTCTGCACTTCCATCTGCCGTTGCCGACACTCATTTTGTCTGAGCCGAATAACCTCATGTTTTAAGCATTTGATATAATCCACAGAGGATTTTAATATTGTTCCTTTGTTAGGGCGAATATCACGGACGACTTCATAAAAGGCTTCACTGCCTTTTGGCAAAAGGGTACCCAACTCTTTTATCCTGTCATTAATATTAAATCGACGTCGACGCTCAACTGCAAATAGGAAGATATAAATAACCCCTACACAGTAAAACGAGGAGAAAAGTTGTAAATCGCCTTCAAAAGCGACTCTACTTTTATACCCGGTACTCAGTAAGTATATACATACTACAAACATAGGTATGCATCCTTGAGTTTTGCAAATTTTACATTTTAAATTCTTTCGGCAACTGTTAAGACATCACTCCTTACACCTGTACGCCTGTTTAGCACTTTCTGGACAAGATTTTCGTCATTCTGACTATAATAATGATTCAATCTGGGCCTTATTTGGGGTCTGATAGACATGGACATTCTCATGCAGTGTGAAATCACAAAAATTTGGGATGCACGGACGGACCGACAGACGCCCAGACAGACATCGACTCGGCTTTTCTTGCTGATCAAGAATATATATACTTCATGGTGTCGGAAACGTTTCCTTCTGCTCGTTACATACATCCACATCCACTTTCGAGTAAAAATCTAATATACCACTTTTACTATTCGTGTTCCGGGTATAAAAAAAGTAAAAAAAAAAGTGGTGAGTTTACTCATATTGTGGTTATCCTTTTTTTGTCGATCTTTTGCCATGGCATTTATTTCAGCATCAGTTAGGTTTTGTGGTTCCTGTTTAATATAAAGCTCGGAGTTGAAGTTTTTATCAAAATTAAACGAATTGTTTTGTAATATATCATCAAAGAGATCATCCGCCTGAAATTAAAATAATTTCAATAAAACAATATTTTAATCTTATTTAATTTTTTATAAGACAGCCTTGCACTAATTTTCTGACAAAAGTCAGAATCTCATCTCATGATTTATGCAACTCGTTTAATATTGTTACGTTTTATAAATGCAGAAAGAGAGCTGAGGAATGGAGATAGATTAATTTTTTCAAATCTCGATTAAATTTGCCTTTTCTGATCCAGAGCTGTCTATTTCCGTCAATACAGCGCGATAACCCAATAGTCGGCCAGCTGCATTTGCCTAGTCGTTGCACTGCCCTCTGTCTAAGCTTGTTCGTTCCGAAGAAGATTCAGGTTTAGCCACTGGAAATTAATTTCTTCATTGTGGCTATAATAATGATCCAATCGGATCCCAATTTGGTGATCTGATAGATTTGGCCATTTCCTGAGGAATGGCGTTTTCTTTTATCTTCAAAACTGTAGATTTGGAAGGCTTTTGATGCTAATCAAGAATATATATACTTTATGGGGTCGGAAACGCTTTTTCTGTGCGTTACATACAACCGTTATTCACACAAATACAATAAACCCTATTTACTCTTCGAGTACCGGGTATAAAAAGTGGCCTACTGCTTTTCATTGCGCCCGTACAAGCACAAACGAGGCGCCATGTCCTGGAGTGCCAGTTTTTGGTCCTATCCCAGAGAAAATTTTAAAAATTCACGATATGGGGATGGCCGATCCGAGATTTAAATTGCAAGATATCCAGGAAGTTATAGGCAACCACAGCACTAAGTAGTTTTAAAAGATGGCTGTCTCGTTTGCTCACAATCGGCCACGAACGAAATCGTGTGACAACTTCGAAAGATTGTTTGGTGTGGTTGTAACACAATTAGGACACATTTCTGCCACGTTTCGTAACCGTGTATGAAATGTCCATTAACCAAAACACACCATAGATAGAAGCAGTCAAAAAACAACGATTCTCAGGATAATTCTGTCGACTAAGGTGGGGTTTTCAGCCAAAAAAGCAATGAAGCCAGCCTTTGGGAATGTATATTCCACATTACTGTTGGAATCGTAAAAATACGCGCATATTTGGAGAAGAAACAAAGTTTTGCAGCGGGACAATGCAACGGTGCAGACATTGTCAGTTTCCATGGGAAAATCAATCCACTACGATACGAAATTGTCACTCAACTACCGTATTCTCTCAATTTAGTCCCTAGTGAGTATTTCGCGTTTCCAAACTTCAAGAAATATCTTGGAGGAAAAAGATTTGAGTCCAACGATGAAGTCATCTCGCAAAAAATTCCTATTTTGAGGTCCTCTAAAAATTATATTTTTTAAGGGAACATTTTTTGGAGAAATGCTTAACAGATGTTATGTTTATTTTTGTTTTATTCTTAGGTAGGCCGACTACTTTTCAGCCCGCCCTCTAATAAATACAACGGGTTTTAATACTTAAACAGATTTTAAAAAACCATATGCAAAAGATCTACTTACATCGCTGTCGAATGATGGGAGCTGCAAACAAATCATAGTTAAATGGTTAGTTACTTTAAACTACAGAGTCTACAAAGTGGGTCATAAAAAATTTATGTTAAACAAATTTCTTTGGATGCTACTAGAGAGGGTATTTCCGTGACAATTTTGGTGAGATATTTGTTAAGCATATTAATAATTCTATACATTTAGCATACTGGGCTCGTCGATGAAACCCTTGTTATATTGAAACGAGAAGGGATGTGTGAGACTCTTCTTACGCGTCACAATTTTTATACCCGGTACTCATTAGACCATCTGTACCTCAACGGTTTTTTTCAAATATTAAATTTTAAAGTTTTTCTACATCTTTGATTAACATACACATCACCATCACTTCTCAGTAAATAGGGTATGTAACGCTTAGAAGGAAACGTTTCCGACCCCATAAAGTATATATATTCTGTATCAGCATCAATAGCCGAGTCGATAGAGATATGTCTTTCTGTCCATCCGTCTTGTTAAGCGCCTGGGTCCCAGAGACTTTAAAAGCTAGAGCCACCAAATTTTGCATCCAGATTTCTGTATGCTCACACTGTTACAAGTGTATTTAAAAAATAAGCCCTCCCCCTTCCACCCCCGCAAAAGGCCGAAAACCTCCCAATGCTACGAGAAAAAATAAACAGCAAAAAACAACACCAGAAAAGCGGGTATAAACGTTATTCAAAGAGTCAATAGGGACTATTTTATTTTTGAGGAAAAATGAATGTAACGCAGGGAATGAAAAGTATACGTATAATATATATAATCTATATACTTTATGGGTTCGGAAACGTTTCCTACTGTGCGTTACATATGTACATCCACTTTCGAGCACATATTAAATATTTGCTAGTTACACTTCGAGTAGCGGGTATAAAAAGAAACCGAATTGTCTGTGTGAAGCAATACTGTTCATAAGTAAGCGGAGAAAAACCATTTGGTACAGTTCCCTGATCTGCTTTCGGATGTTTCTCGAAAACGATAGAGACGTGCGCTTTTTGGTTTTGACCTTTTCGCAATTCTCAGCCACAATTTTGAAGATAAGATAAACCTAAAAAGGCAATTCCGTAGGGAATGACCATATCTATCAGATCACCGAATTAGGATTAGATTAGATCATTATTATAGCCAGAATGACGAAATTAGCTTGCAGTGGCTACCCCAACCCCGTCCCAGCAGCTTTTTTATTTTTTGCACGTTCTTTCATTGCTTCGTGCAGTGTACGGCTCTAGGGGAGGGCGACGAGCTAAAAGAGCGTGTTGGCGTGAGAAGTGATGTAATGTGATGATGTGTTCTACACACGTAGAAAAAATGTAAAATGTATAATTTCTAAAAAAAAAACTTAGGTACAGATATACTAACTGAGTACCGGGCATACAAGTTGGGACGCGTACAATGCGTCTCACACGTCCCTCCTCGTTTACAATAGGTCCGGAAAGAGAATAAGGTGAAACTAAAAGAAAACTTTTGTACTCACCTCTGAAGCACTTGTAGCTACAGAGCTTAGACTTGGCGATATGGGTGCTGAAGTGGAGTGTAATGAACTAGTTGTACTAGAAGTGGGCATCGTATTAATTATTCCAGATGTAGTACGTGCAGTAACAGAAGAATTTAAACTAGTATTCCTCTTAACATATCCTTGTGTTTTATTTACAATTTCTGTGGATTCTTCTGAACTTTTGGGGTTTATACTTCCCGATGAAATTTGTTCATTAGTGTTGCAGTTTCCATTGCTTAAAAAACTGGAGCCAAAAGGAGATATTGGCATGGATTCATCGGAATGCATTGTTCGTTTGCCACTGGAAGTCATTTCACATTTATAACTATTTGACCGCTCCATAGGAAGGCAGCTGTTGACCAAAGAGGAATTATGTAAATTTCCAGTGGATACTGAGGTGTTTGCGGCTTTCGTCTATAAAGTTATGTAAAATGATATAAAGCTTGTTTATCAATCTATAAAAATGCAAAAAACTTACATCGCTGTTATGACAACCCCATACAGATGGCTTGAAAGATTCACTGAGAAATTGTCTAACTTGATTTTTTTGCTTCTGTATAACATGATACCGTGTCGGATTCTCAAGCACTGTGCTGACCTGTAAAATGTAGGGCTTAAGCCAATTTTTAACTTAAAGTGGTAGCTGTCAATTACCTGCAGCACTTGAGGTGGTACATCCACACCAATACTCTGTAAAGGAACTTTTAACTTAACTGGGCTTGCTGAAGGCAAACGATCCCTTTGCACAAATTGAGACATCTGATCCAAACTAGAAGATCCGCTCCCACAAGCGCTAGTACTGTTGCTGTTTATAAATTCCGACTCAGTCGAGCCCTGACCCATGCCAAACAACAGCTGCATTTTTGGATCTGGAGATATTAGTATTTGTTGTTGCACCATCATTTGTTGCTGCTGTTCCTGCTGCTGTTGCTCACGTTGCAACTGAAGTTTTAGTTGCGTCCTCGAGGTAGGAGTAGCAGTTTTAAACGTTGGTCTATAAATAACAAATTTAAAATACATGAATTTTCTACCAAACTAAATAAAGAGCTTAACTTATATTGAATGTGCGGACTCTGTCATAACGGACTAAATACATACCCACCCGAGAGAGGCGGTAGACCCACTATGCGTGGCTCTGTAGTTTCGCTGCTAATATCGCCAAAATCTACGATGCTCGGATCCATTTCAAGAATCATTTCTAAATCTTTATCTATACCGACAGTTACTCGTATATTTGTAGTCGCCGTGGACTTAGATTGATTATCCCTGGATGACCATCCTGAAAAAGGCGCCACACTGTCAATATCATCAAGTTCCATTAACATCGAAGGTTCCACGCCGATTTCAATTGGAAACGAACTTGAGTACGTGCTCGGATTAGCTACTGAATCTTCTTTTTCGCTATCGGCTGTTCTTGACATCTGCAAAGTCTGCACTCTTCTTACAAACTCTTGAAACTCCTGAAGATGATTGTCTGATTTCGGCGGTGGCACCTTTGCCTTTTCCATGTCTTCAGATCTTAGACTATTTATAATTGATTCAGCTGTGTCACTTTTTAAATTATTTTCGTTTACAGAACTTAATGCCACAGATTTTTGTTCTTCGATTTTGTTTCCAACGTTTTGAATATTTTTCTTGTTCCAGTAAGAAAACATGTTAATGCTATTTGAATATCATAAACCAACACGTAGAAATATTTCACAAGCTAAATTAGTTCTGGTCCTCTCATTCGCTAAGTATTACAAAGACCTTGATCTTGTGTCTAATTCTAATAGGAAAATGAGGAAAGAGAGGGTCTTTGTACGCATGCTTTCCCATAGCATTTCAGTGAAAGGCGGATAAAGTGTAAGGTTTGAAAAGAAGAATACATATGTACATATTTATAAGTCATTTGATATTTTTTAACAATTCAACCACACTCCACTCAGATTCATAAGCCGTTAAAAAATATCCGGTGATGAATGAATGAAATGAATTCGACCACTATTCACGGTACCTTACAATATATACATCATGGGTATGTACATACTTATGTATATATATGAGAAATATATAAGTTTGTATAGCTGCGCAATATAATAGGACCAGAATATGCGCAAACAGGGTGCGTTTAAGAATGGTCAATTGGCGATCATCAACCCAGGTATACATATAAATGTACCTTCATACATACACATGTATTATTGCATGAATTTGCATTTATGTATTGAGATAGTACTTTTACGTAATAACGTATGTAACCTGTATGAATAAAAACACATACACATTCATAAATATATTATTATGAAAATACATGTGGGCACTTCCGCTAAAATATCAATCATGCAAAATACTATTAAAAGTCAATAAAAACTAATATCTATATATGAATGTATGTATATAGTTCTGTTCCGATTTATTTATATATTTTCCTGAATCTGGATCAGACTTATATATTTATAACAATATTATTTTATTTATATTATAGCTAGAATTACGAAACAACGAGGAGGGACGTATGAGACGGGTGTGGTCTAGGGTCTAGGGAAGGGTGGTCTAGGGGTGGTCTAGGTTGGTCTAGGGAAGGGGGGCGAGCTAAAGGAGCGTGTTGGTGTGAGAAGTGTTGTAGATGTAGATGACAGATGAAGAAACAATGTAAAATTTGACAAAACACCGCAAAGGTGCAGATGGTAGTACTGAGAGGCGGGTATAAAGTTGTGACGAGTAAGAAGCGTCTCACACGTCCCTTCTCGTTTTTTAAATACACTGGTTTCAGTGTGAGCATACAGCAGTCTGGATGCAAAATTTGTTGGCTCTAGCTCTTATAGTCTCTGAGAACTAGCCGACAAACAATACGGACAGACAGACGGACGGACGGACGGACAGACATGGCTCAATCGACTCGGCTATTTATGCTAATCAAGAATATATATACTTTATGGGGTCGGAAACGTTTCCTTCTGCGTGTTACATACTTTGAGCACAAATACAATATACCCTATTTACTCTTCGAGTACCGGGTATAA